ACCCAGACCCTGGTAGCCTGTCAAAAGGGAATTGAATCAATAAGTGTAGGTCGAAAAATTAATAACATAATGATAAAAATCCTTGCATTTTATACAGCGCCTGATCACGTCTTCGAGACGTCTCAAAGCGCTTCACACGGTATATGTAAGTTAATTGACCGTATGTCTTGAAATTATACTGAAGGGTGTGATGAAAGAACAGGGGGACTGGGAGTAGAGAGCTCCAGTGGGAGAGTTACTACCAATGTCGATACGATGGGGCAACATTACTTAACCCCACAGTTAGAGGGAGCTCAGAGACAGGACATTGCTTTAAAGTCCGTCTTTATTGGAGCGGTTTGCACAGAAACCTCCTCACTTGTACCTGTACAGTAATTCCAAACCCCTCCCAATTTTTAAGTAAGTTTTTGTAAGTTCACATTGTCTTAGTATTTAAAACGGCCCCGAAACGTAGACGATTCTCAACGTTCAGCTCAATTTGGAAGCTGTTTTGCTGTGGCTCTTAAAATGAATCGGCTTCCAAAGTGAGCGAGGGTAAGCATCTTCCGCACTCCTTCCATTCATTGTTTCAGGGCAAAATAATAATCGGAATCCTTGCGTTTGGTACAGCGCTCCGTCGCGTCTTCGAGGCGTCTCAAAGCGCTGCACAGAATATACTGTAAAGTGAACTTGACTGTGTATTTTGTGGGTGAAACGCGGCAGCCGATTGCGCACAGCAGCGTCCCCGCAAACAGCCGTGGATTGAGTGATGGTCCGGGGGCACTGCACTGTCCAAGATGTTGTCCTTCAGATGAGACGACTGCTTTACGGGGTGTTTATCTGCTGTTTCTCCTGTTGCAGTGTTATCCTGCCCCTGCCTCAGAATGTGATCGACTACTTGATGGATGATGGCACCTTAGTGGTGTCAGGAAGGTAAGGCTTGCCTAACACCGTACAGGACTGAGAAAGATCATTGCCGTGTGTTTGGCCGTGTTTTCAGCCGCTCACTACGCCCCGAAACTCTGGAGCACTCTCTCTCTCTCTCTCTCTCAATCCCTCCCTCCGCCTTGCCCCCTCTCTCCCTCCCCATCTTCAAATCCTGCCTGAAGACCTTCCTTTTTGATCGTGCTTACGGCCACCTCCCCCCTCCCTCCCTCTCCCCCCCCCCCCTCCCTCCTTCCCTCCCTGACTCGTTGGCAGACTCCACCATTGTGAAGCACTTCGGAACGCTACCCTCATAGAAATGCAAGTTGTTGTTGTTGTTGGCCAGGCCCAAAGCCCCAAAACAGTTCTACACTACTCCCAACTATTACACCCAGCAATCGATTTATTTGCCAAATTCTCTCTCTGTGGCTTACTCTCTCTCTCTCTTTTGCTTGCTTACTCTCCCTCTCCCTCTTTCTCTCTCTCTCTCTCTCTCGCTTGCTCACGCTCTTTCTCTTCTTTTGCTCACACAGTCTTTTTATTCTTTCTCGCTTTCATTATCTCTCTCTCTCTCGCTTGAGCACACACTCTCCCTCGCTTGTGCTCTTTCCTTCTTTCTCTCACGGTTTGTCTCGCTCCCTCCAGCTTTTTTTCCTCTTTCCGCCCACCTTTTATTTTCTCTCTCTCACTCTCTCTCTCACTGACAACAATTCACAGTTATAGTTCCCCTTCGGTTCACCACTCTGCCAGCAGATCTCAGAACCATCTTCAGTTCATCCGCATCACAGCAGCAAACAATGAGTTGATTAAGGAGGGAGAGTTGTTGTTCAGTTAGGAGGCTCGTTCTCAATTGTTTCAGGAATGAAGCCCCGAGTCATTGCCCTGCAGATGATGACAGTGATGAAGAGCAAGATATGCAGGTCAGTAATCTACAGTGCTCAGCTGCTAAGACGTTTGTCTCTAGGCCTTTGAAGTGAAGGGCTTTGAGTTTGCGGTGCTTTAATATTAAGATTATAATAATCATAATAATCCTTGCGTTCGATACAACGCCTCGTCACGTCTTCGAGACGTCTCAAAGCGCTTCGCAGGATACACTGTAAAGTGAATCGGCTGTATGTATATTTGTGGGTGAAACGCGGCAGCCAATCGCGCACAGCAGCGTCCCCCACAAACAGTCGTGGAATGAGTGACCAAATGATTTTTAGTCATTTTGATGAATTATTACCCACCCCCCACCCCCCCACCACACACACCTGGAAAAAAATTGTCCCTGTGCTCACGGCAAAGTGGTCGGCCAACTAAAATATTCTTGACTAAATATTTCTTCGATATTCTGGATCGAATATGATTGAATATTTCTGTAATTATGCCATAAATCAAGAAAAATCTGAAAACAGCCGACAGAACAGACCCTGACTAACCCGGACCTGAGCGAATTATAATAATAATAATAATAGTAATAATCCTTGCATTTGATATAGCGCTTTTCACGTCGGGAGGACGTCCCAAAGCGCTTCACAGAACACACTGTAGAGTGAATTGACTGTATATTTGTGGGCGAACCCGGCAGCCAATTGCGCACAGCAATGTCCCACAAACAATCGTGGATTGAAAATGACCAATTTATTATTGTTTTTGGTTTTGGAGGGATTATTATTAGGCTCTGTGTGGAGTAAGGAAACTTGCCCAAGGTTTCGCCCTCTGCCTGGAATTGAACTCAGGTCTCTCACTTGCAAAGCGAGTGCTCTAACCACTGAGCTACAGGACTCCACAAATATTTGGAGTGGAGGCCACTGGTTTGGCTACCACTGGAATGACCCATTTATCTGGAGGCTCGTTGGCCAGGACACCGGGTAAAATTCACTCTATTCCGTCAAAGGTACTCTTGTCTCGACTTAGTGAAGGTGATGGCTTAGAAAGGTTTATCGATTGCTTAACTTGACAACCCTCTGTGTTTCTTTCCTGCAGTGGTCTGACGACGAGAATGTGACGACACTCACGGTAAGAGACGTGGCAAAGCAAAGCTGTGACGTTGTAGAGGGGTGGGGGGAAGAGTGCAACTGTCTTGACTGTCACATAAAAGATCCTCCCATTAAGCATGGCGATGGGTGTGTGTGTGTCTAAACGGCATTTTAAAAAGAGAACGGAATTTCCAGGTGTCACAGGTAAATTGGTCACTCGTTGTGTGTGTGAGGGGGCGAGTGTGTGTGGGGTGGGGGGTTGGCGGGGGAGTTGGAACGAAGGAGAGGGCTGTGTGCAAATTGGCTGCCTTGCTCGCCTATAATTACACAGCGATTCCTTGTGAATAATGTATTGTTCAAAGTGCTCCATTGAATGAAAGGATTATTATTATATTATTATTATTATTTATTATCATCGTAACGGGTTGTGTCTTTTTAATATCCAGGCTCCAGAATTCCCAGAATTTGCAGCTAAAGTCCGCGAAGCTATCAACTCCCTAGGAGGGAGCGTTTTCCCCAAACTCAACTGGAGCTCCCCAAGGGTAAGGAAGGAAGAAATGTGATTCATTCTGGATGTTTTTTGCTGCCCGAAGGTTTTGCGTTTAATACATCTCAGACTTCTTAACCCGAGGAAAGCTCTTGTCTAATGAGAAACCAATGTGGACCTGGTTTGAATCTGCACTGCTTTCGAACAGATCTGAACATCTGAAAAAGGGTTGATTTGATTAAATTATTATTCCGCAGAATGTCTTTTATCTCTCGTTCTGGAACGTTTAATGGCATTCTGCTGAAGGCACTTTCTGTTTCAGGCATTTTAGTTCTTGCTCGGTTGCTAGTAGCCTTTCCTCCTCTAGTCACGAGGCCGTGTCAGGACTTAGGAACAAACCTGTGCCTGAATAAAACATCGGGGTCTGGCTGAGGGAGATGGCAAAACACTGGATTCCTGAGCTGTGGACTTCACGAAGAGCTTGAAACTGGAACTCAAGGCCGCAAATTCCACTCATGTTTTCTGGGGGTGGAAGGGGTGTGTTATTCTGCCACTGTGCGAGCAGTACATATTCCATGCAGTGATGGATTGTGTATGTTAATTGCTAAGTATCGTAGAACCCATACATTTTTTTTTAAAAAAAGTCCCAGCTGTATAGAAGTGATTAATGACCGAGAATTGATCGGGCAAATTGCTTTACAACAGTGAAAGATATTCAGATGAAATCTGAGGAGGTTGTTCCTCTGGTGCATTGATTTCTAACCATTGCAGTATAAATGCGACCAGTGCAAATCGATTGGTGACCACTCATAGAATGGCCTTTCAGTCATCTATTAAGGGGATCGATCATAAATTTTATTAAGGAGGTGGAGCCTCTTCCCCCATTCCTACACCCCCCGCCTCCTGGGCAATGGGGTCTGAAGACAAGCAATATTGAGTCCTGTAGCTCAGTGGATGAGCGAGAAGACCCGGGTTTGATTCCCAGGGAGGGTGAAACTTTACAGAATATATTGTGAAGTGAATTGACTGTATATTATGTGGGCGAAACACGTCAGACAATTTCGGACAGCAGCGTCCCACAAACGTCGCTGGATTGAGTGACCAAATTATTATTAGTAGTAGTATTTATTTTTGAAGAGATTACCCCTGGAAAGTGATCCACCAATCGACTAAAAACTGGGTTCCTATTTACTGCTTTGTAAACCGAGGTGTGTGTGTGTGTGGAGTAAGGAAACTTGCCTACGGTTTCGCACTGCCCGGGAATTGAACCCGGGTCCTCTCGCTTGTGAGGCGAGCGCTCTAACCACTGAGCTACAGGACTCCGCTACAGCAACGTGTTTGTGTCCGGGCACTTTGCTGTGCTCAGATTTGCTGCTGTGAAGCGCTTTTAAGACAGCCTGGTGACGGGAAAGGCACAATATTAAAAAGCAAGCGTTTCTTTATGTTGCACTGTCTAGTAAGTACTAAATTGCCAGTAGGGCTATGGAAATATGAGTTGATAGCGAGCCCAAAATATTACTTAACAAATAAATCTCAAATAATCTGCCCACTGGTGGATTTATTAATGCATTTCCTCTGTGTTTGTGGGCAAGGATTCTATCTCTCTGTTAGCTTTTCAACAGGCCGGTAACTTAGCCTGAGTGGAAGGAAGGAGCCATTAATAAAAATCCAGTTATTCTTATTGACCCAGCTCTGCGTCTCTCTCTCGACAATCCATTAAAGGTTCTCTCAAGAGATCTGACTGCTAGCTAGAAACATGCAGGGTTCTGGGTTAATCATTCAGCGCTATATCAAATGCAAGGATTATTATGAAAGGGAATTTAAGGGGTGGGGGGGGGAGTGGGAGGGGGCTAGAGAGAGCCCGGCGAGTAAGTAAGACTAAACGAAGAGCTTTATCACTGGCACGATGGCCCCAAATGTAAATTTCCCCGGTCGGATCCCTGAGCAAGCATTAAACTCGAGCATCGCTCATTTTATTGGGAGCGAGGCCAAAAAGGCAATGAGGTTATTGATTTCCAGCGAGAAAAGATTTTCCTGGCTTTGCAACTCTAAATTGTAGGGGAAAAAAACTCGTCGACAATCGAATCAAATGTTCCGTAAAATGAATTCATCAAAACGGAAGGCACCCAATTTGCTTCAGCTGCCGCACTGAGTGGGAAGAATTATTATTATTGTTGTTGTCAGAGGAGCTGCCCTTCAAATGGACGTTGAAGATCCCGTAACCCTTTGTGGAGTCCTGTAGCTCAGTGGTCAGAGCGCTCACCTCGCAAACGAGAGACCTTGGTTCGATTCACAGGGCGAAACCTTGGGCGCAATTTGCTGCCGCGTTTCGCCCACAAAATATACAGTCAATTCAGTATATCCTGTGAAGCGCTTTGAGTATGTAAAGCTTTGATATAGCGCCTTACTTCAAAGACTTGATAAGTCACTATGTCAAATGCAAAGATTATTATTATTATTGTCATTATTGTAGTATTTTCCCTCTGATTGCTGTCCCTTTCCTCACACTCTCAGGACGCTCAGTGGATTGCTCTGAACAGCTCCCTCAAGTGCCAGACTCTGAGCGACATATTCCTGCTTTTGAAGAGCTCGGACTTTGCCATACGCGACCTAACCCAGCCGTACGTACATCACACTTTGTGCCTTGCTCTTCCCTCCCCACCTCTGTGACCTTCTAACTCCACACCAGCCTGTCCACTCCTCCGTTCAGTGGGCTCCGGCTTGCTCCACCATCGGCCTCTCTGCCCCCACCCAGGAACTCCATCCCACAGTCCCTTCGCCTCGCGCTCCCCCTCGCCTCCTTCAAGGCAAGTCTCAAGTCCCTCCTCTTTGATCGCGCCTTTGGTCACCCTCAAACCCCTCCCTGCTCCCTCCCCCCGATCATAAACCCCCAGCTCGGGTCCAAATCCCTGACTGTCCAGCACTTTGGGAGGTCCTCCCGACATGAAAGGTGCTGCGTAAATGTCATTTGTTGTTGCCTTTGCAGCGCTTCAAATAGTTATCCTGCGTGAAAGGCACTACGCAGACGAAAGTTATAATAATAATAATCCTTGCATTTGATGCAGCGCCTTAACAGGTCGTTGAGACGTCTCAAAGCGCTTCACAGAATATACCGTAAAGTGAACTGACCGTATACTTTGTGGGCGAAACGCGGCAGCCAATTGCGCACAGCAGCGTCCCACACAAACAGTCGTGGAGTGAGCGACCAAATTAGTTTTAACCTTTGGCTCTTGACGACCTGCACCTTAATAACATTCCAGGATTGGGTGAGACGGGGCGTGTCTGAGTGTGTGCCCCATTCTAGACACAGGGAGTGTTTTCTTGTGGCTTGTTTTGCACTGCAAATGGGTTTCCACGTGTGACAGACACACAGAACAGCTAACACAGATCTTGTTTCATTTTCTTCTGCTATCAGATTCCTTCACTGCACTGATGATTCACCAGACCCCAAAGTGGAAAATCAGGTTAGTTCGTTTGTAACCTCACGTCCGTCAGATTTTCTTTCTGCAGATGTGAAGATAATTATCGTCTTTGCATTTGATATAGTGCCTTTCAAAGGGGTGGGGGGGAGAAGGGTGATCAAAGGCCCGGTCGAAGAGGAGGGTCGGGAGATGGGTCTTGAAGGACTTCTCAAAGCGCTTCATAAGATTTTACGAATTCAGTCTATTCAGTCCTGCGCTATATCAAATGCATGGATTATTAGTATTTTTTGGTGGGGGGGGGGGTGCAGTTTTCCGAGGGTGACACGGCTATCCATCCTTACCCAACGCCCGAACTAAATCAAAGACGAGCGTGTGAGGAAGGAACAATAGCTTCTGAACTGTATTGCGCTGTGCGTGTGTGTGTGTGTGCGCGCGCGCGCTGTGTATTTGCATGCACCACTCACTCGCCTGTTGAGAGTCCCAGTGGGCTGAATGACTTGCTCGGTGCAGTAAATCGGGGCTGCGTCAGATTTAATGAGTGCGTTTCAGACCTTTATTGATTTATCTGCTGATTAAATCAGTGCCGTGGGGAACCAGCGGCACAGACACTCCCTTTTGGAGCCAGTCAGCTGTTTGGGTTAAGACTGCGGGCGCTTACTTCATTGCTACACTGCGGGTGCGGGTTCGATCTTGCCAGCTGCCAGTTAATCTACAGCTGAGCTTTGAAAGGCACCTCACGAATGCAAGTGGATCCCACCCACTCTCTCCCACCGTCCAGTGCCTCGGGACCTCTTCCTGACGCGAAAAGGCGCCGTGCGAATGTCATTCGTGGCTGTATTCAACCACCGCCTTAAGACTGGCCTCTTCAGCAAGCGTTTTCCATCGCACACCCCACCCTGGCCGCCCTCTGGGTATCGAGAGGCTTCACTATTAAAATGTAAACCGGATCCCATCTCGCTGGGTGTGCGGCTGCTGAGTTACTGTGCCCTGCTCCACTTTCCCCTGCCCGGCCCACCCCACCATCAGCAATTTACACAGCGCCTTTCGCTCAGAAGGACGTCCCAAGGGCTTGCACTCGAGCTACGGGTTGGAATCAAGAGGGGTGGAGGGTAGGGGGAGTGGGGGTGGGAATGTGGGGGGCCAAAGACACGGTCAAAGAGGGAGGTCTTGAGACGGGCCTTGAAGGAGGCGCGGGAGGGAGCGAGGAGGAGGGATCCAGGGATGGCGTTCTAGAGGGTGGGGGCAGGAAAGCTGAATCCACAGGTTTGGCCTCCAGTGGGAAGCGCTGTGAGACGTGCCCCCCCACTCTTCCCCCCCCCCCCTCCCCCTCCCGTGTCACTCCTGAATGGCTCCTGGCCTGTTAAAGTCAGCAATGTCACTAATCCGGCTTCACTGCAATTTCTCCGCAGCTGGTTCTCAGGAAATGGTGCGAATTGATTCCCGGAGGGGAGTTCAGGTGCTTCGTCAAAGAAAACAAACTGATAGGTAACCAGGCGTCACGGCTTCACACAGATACGTTGTAAAGTACTTTTACCGCTTGCAATTGGTTATTGCTTGGAAATTGACTGCAATTTGTACCCATTGCCTCTGATAGGAATTGCACAGAGAGATCACACACAATACTACGATCACGTCTGTAAACTGGAGGCAGATATTCTCACCGCCATCAAAGATTTCTTCAGAAAACAAATACAGTACAAGTTCCTGGACGAGGACTGTAAGTGCTTTTTAATTCATTTGTTTTCGCTTATTTTAAAGCTTGTGGAGTCTTGTAGCGGGAGAGGCGAGGGAGGGAGGGAGCGAGCAGTAAGTAGGAACCTGGTTGCTAGTCGATCGCCTTCTGGGGTTAATAATCCCCTTTTTTTTAAAGAAATGATAATAATAATTTGATCACTCAACCCGTGGCTGTCTGTGAGACAACTGACTGCCATGTTTCACTCATAAAATACGTTCATTCCGCTTTACGCTGTATCCTGTGAAGCGCTTTGAGACGTCTCAACGACACGATACGGCACTGTATCAAATGCAAGGATTATTATTATTAATATTAATTTGATGTTGTATGTGTGATTGTGCTATAGCTCTCACGCTGGAGCTGTTTGCTTTATTGGCAATTCCCTGCTCAAATACATCTCGAGTCCACTTTTGAAGTAGAATTGATGAATATGCCTTGTAGCGTAAATAAATAATGAGAAATGATTATCAAGAGTTTGATCTCAGCTATTTTAATTCCTGCCAATTTACCAGTACAAAACATATCGGATTGCCTCCAGCTCCAACCAGACATCAGCCCACTTGTTCAATCTTTTTATTTATTTAATGTGTTCGGGCTGAAAGACAGAGAAAGACTTTTGTTAGAGGTGCACTGCATTCTCAGCTGACGAACTTCGGATCAGACATTAAACCGAGGTCCAGCCTGTGCCCATTCAGGTTTACCTTTAAAGATCCCATTCTAAAAGAGAAGCAGACTTTCTCCACTCTCCTCTCATGAAAGTTATAATCATATTAATCCTATTAATATTCGATGTAGCGCCTTATCACGTCTCGTAGACGTCTCAAAGCGCTTCATGGGATGTACTGTAAACTGAATTGACTTAACGTTTTGCGGGAGAAATACGACAATCGATTGCGCACAGCAGTGTCCCACAAATTGTCGTGGATTTTTTTACAAAGATAGTCCTGCACTTTTGCGAGGGATTCTGAAATTGTATGCACTTATTTTTTTCCCTCTCTCTCTCTCTCCACAGTTGTGTTTGATGTATATCGCGACAGTAAGGTAGGGTGATGAGGCTGTTGGAAACTGCTTGTAATTCAATGTATGCTTCATTTTCTGTGTCTTTTTATATAAAAAAAAAGGGAAAGATTGACAATTTCTCCCCAATTCCTCCACCTCCTTTTTTCAGACAACACGCACGGCCTGCTCTGAGCAGGTTCACTACACTTTACGCTATATTCCGTGAAGCGCTTTGAGACGTCTCGACGACTGTGTTGGACATTTCCACGCTCTGGAGGCGGAGGCGGAGTGGGAGTGGGTTTGGGAATGAGGAACAGAATCAGGGTGATGGGCGATGGGGGAGTCTGGGAGCCCAAGAGAGTGAAGAGAGGCAAGAGAGGGGAGAAGAAGAGTTCTGTACGTCTGAGTGATGACGAGTAAGGAAGACCGGAGACTTCAGAGCATGGAAATGTCCCGCACAGTCAGTGGCCATTCAGCCCGTGGCAATAGTGTTGTTAAGAATAACTGCCGTGTTTCGCCCGCAAAATACACAGTCACTACACTTTACAGTATATTCCGTGAAGCGCTTTTAAGACGTCTCAATGGCGTGATGAGCTGCTATACCAAATGCAAGGATTAATATTCTTCTTCTTGGTCTTATTCTGCCAATAAAATCATCCATTCCAATCCCAATTCTGTGCTCTTTCGCCCAAGCTCTTTTCTCCGCACATACAGATATGAGGGAAAACCTCTGACATTTATGGCTCTCTCCCTACTCCCCAACAACCCCCCCCCCCCCCCCCCAAATAATTCACACCTACATTCACTTCCTCCTCCCGCCCTCACCCCTTCCTTGCTTGGCGTCTGACCCCATCTTTGTAAAGTGGTCCGAGACAAATTCAAAGGTTATTATTATATCATTGAGTGCGTCAAGGCATTTCAACCTGAAACCTGTCCCAAATTATATACTGCATCCCCCAGATTTAATCTCACTTGACATTTGGTCTCACAGGGCAAAGTGTGGCTGATAGATTTTAACCCTTTCGGGGAAGTGACAGACTCTTTGCTGTTCAGCTGGAAGGAGCTTATGTCTGGGCAGAACGTACGAGGTGAAAGCAGCGAAGAGGAGCCCATGGATCCGGTGAGAAATAGATACCTCGTTGGCCTACAAAACAGTCACTAACTACCCCACCTCACAGCAAAATCACAGCAGTCATGCTATCAAATAAAATAATATAAAATAACCCGGTTGCTCGGCGATTGGTGGATCGCTTTTCCGGGGGTAAAATCCCTTGGAAAGTTTTTAAAATAATGATAATTTGCTCACTCAAACCACGACTGTTTGTGGAATTGGCTGTGCGCAATTGGCTGCTGCGTTTCGCCCACAAAATGTACAGTCACTCCACTTTACAGTATATTCTGTGAAGCGCTTTTGAGACATTTCAACGATGTGATACGACGCTGTATCAAATGCGAGGATTATTAATATATACTCTGAGGCGCATCGTCAGTGTAAGAAGACGCAAAGTCAAATGCAAGGATCATTATTATTATTACTCACTATTATTGTCTTGTTCTTTCTCTTGTCTAGGATTCTCCAGCCTTCCGCTACACAAGGAGCGAAGTGACTGTACAGCCCAGCCCTTACTTAAGCTACCGGCTGCCGAAGGACTTTGTGGACCTGTCCACAGGGGAAGACGCTCACAAACTGATCGATTTTCTTAAACTGGTGAGACTCTTCCCTTTGAGTCAGAAAAGGGACCCTTCAATCACCACCGATTATTATTATCATTGATACCACGGCCCCAGTAGGTGGCGTTCTCGCCTCTGGGTCAGAAGGTTGTGGGGTTCAAGCCCCAGGTCAGGACTTGAGCTCGCAGTCCAGGCTGACGCACCAGACGTTAAACCTACATCGAAACTGTCCTTGCCAGGCTGCACTGGCTCCCAATTTCTGAACAGTTCGACTTCAAGTCTCTCGTTTTCGAACCCCTTCATGCCCTCACTCTCCCGATTTCCTCGCTACCCGCCCCCCCAAACCACCCCCCCCTCTCTGCCTCCGCTCAGCCGACTACGGCCTCCTGTTCGCCTGCGCTTGTCGTGTCCCAAACTATGTCCCGTATCCCCCAGATATCATTTCCTCCCAGAAATCTTATCTAATTGGTTCTTTACTCCTCTAACCTCGACAGTCTGTAAGTCAAGCACCAGAGAGTTCAGATGACGAGGTGTGAGCCCCGACACTCTCCTCCACGGACAGTGAGCGAGGAAGAAGACAGTCAGCAATCAAGCAAATCCCCGGATTTCCCCCACAAGTTGCCCTGTTCTGTCTCGGGGAGAGCGCAGCCCGGGAAACACCATGCGATATTTCATCTCTCCAGCCAAACCCAACCGAGCAACAGACGAGCGTTGCTCGGTTGGGTTTGTTCTGAAGTGAATCCCTGTCGTACGTTATTTGCAAACGCACAGTCACTTACCCTTGAGGATGTGAGCGGTTAGAGCACCCGCCTCGCAAAGCCAGGGGACCCGGGTTTGATTCCCGGGCGCTGTCTCAAAGCGCTTCACACCGTGACTGTGTATTTTGTGGGCAGCAAATGGCTTGAACCCACGAGCCTTTCTGATTCAGGGCGAGGCTGCCCACTGAGCCAAGGCCGAACCGACACCTTGTTGAGTTTTTATTGAAACACAAATAAATTAAAACCAGAATTAGCCTCGGGCGGTCGTCCTTGAGTCCTTCGTCACAGAACGCAACACAAATATATTGTTTCATCCACTTGGGGGCGCTCACACTTTAGGGTAACATTTCCATTTTGTTTACATGGACATACCTATTAATAATAATAATAATAATCATCATCATCATCATCACCATCGTTGCATTTGATATTTGATATATCGTCTTATCACATCGTCGCGACGTCTCAAAGCGCTTCACAGAATAAAACCGTAAAGTGTCGCGACTGCGTGTTAATTTGTGGATTGAGGGACCAATTTTTTTCGAGGGATCGTTACCCCTGGAAAGCCATCCGCCCATCGACTAACATCCGGGTTCCTGCTTCCTGCTGGTAAACAGAGAAGTGCGTGTGTGTGGAGTAAGGAAACTTACTTAAGCTTAAGGTTTTTTTTTTTTGCCCTGACCAGGAATTGAACCCGGGTCCTCTCGCTCGCGAGGCGAGCGCTCTAACCACTGAGCGACGCTTAACCACACTCACTTTCTTGTGTCTAAGCAGAGAGAGAGAGAGAGAGATGGGTCAATGTGGAGCGAGACGCGGGTCTCTTACGAGACCNTTTTTAACAGGACCTTATCGCGTCAACGTCAAACGCGCTTCACAGGTAAATTGCTGTTAAGTGAAGTGACTGGATTCGGAGGCCAGTGCCACCGAGATTTATCCCAGGGACAGGCGTGACCAATGAATCGTTTTTTTTTTTTTTTGAGTGTGTCCTCTGATTATTTTTTCCAATTTGACGCATCGCCTCTGGGCCGCAGGTCAGACCGTCTCTTACTGGGTCGTGGTCGCCCATTCAACCAAGTGCTCGTCTGGCGCTCAACTATTAGAGGCCGTCACGTCTGAGCCTGAACTCTTCGCCGCTCAGTTGTCGGACACACGCACACGCAACCAGCGAAACGTACTGAATCCTGGCACCTCCCTACCTCTCCGCTCGCTCTGCTTGCTTACTCCCCAACCCACTACCCGCTCTGCCTCCGCTCGACTGGCTCCATCCTCCCGCTTGTCCCTCGTGACTTCCGTTTCCCCCATCGGAAGTCGCGCTTTCAGTCCATAGGGCCCTGGAACTGTCTACCTCAATCCCTCCGCCTCGCCCCCTCCTCCCCACAAAATTCAGATCGTGCCTGAACACTTACCTCTTCGACCGTGTCTACGGTCATCTCCCCCTTCACCCCCCCACCCACCCCCCGTCCCCGTCCCCACCCCCTTGCAATTTTTATTCTTTTCCAATGAATTTCCAATTCTCTTTTGAAAGTTAATGATAATAACAATTAATAATAATCCTTGCACTTGACGTCTCAAAGCGCTTCACAGGATAGAGCGTAGAGGGGATTGACTGCGTGTTTTGCGGGCGAAAGCATCATTGGCTCGGCTTCCAGCAGCCGTCTCAGGCAGTGAGTTTGAGATCGTGCTATTCCTTATGCTCATTCCTTGTGGGATACATCAATTGGGCTCGTCATCACACCCACCGCCTTTGCAGACGCGGGAAAAGAAGAGGAGGTGATAACCGGATACTTTGCTCCGTGAATTGAGTTCACAACAGCCTTTTGAGTTAAGGGTTGCACCTGGTCAGGAAGTTACCGGGTCTACCAAGTGGTTTAGGATGTGGGCTCGGCAAACTTCTCTATGTAACAAGCTCCCCCCAACAACCCCCCCCCCCGCACTCTGCAACCTCCCCCGAGCCGGAAGGACAAAGAGAAAGGAGGACACAACTTTCAACCAAGTCACCCAGAGATGGCCTCTTGCCACCTGCCAGGGTGAAGGATCCACGTGCGCGCGCACCCGCACACCCGCACGCAGCGGCAAGAGGAAGTAAGATAAAGACTTTCATTGCTTCATTCGGTGACTAGTTTTGCCGCAAAAAAAACTGTCCCGTTTATGAGGGGTTCGGTCCATATTGTGTTTGTGTGCGCTAAATGTTAATGATAATAATAATAATAACAATATTAATCCTTGCATTTCAAATAGCCCCTCATCACGTCTTCGAGACGTCTCAAAGCGCTTCACAGCATATACTGTGAAGTGTAGTGACTGTGCGCTTTGTGGGCGAAAGGCGGCAGCCAATTGCGCACAGCAGCGTCCCCACAAACAGCCGTGGATTGAGCGACCAAGTTATTATTAACCAACGACAAATTAAATTTACGCAGCGCCTTTCATGTCGGGAGGACGCCCCAAGGCGCTGGACAGTCAGGGATTTGGACCCGAGCTGGCGGGTGGGATCAGGGGGGGGCGGGGGGTGGGGGGGGGAGAACGTGTGGAGTAAGGAAACAGAGGAACGTGGAGTAAGGAAACTTGCCTGAGGTTTCGCCCCGCTCGGGAATCGAACCCGGGCACTCTCGCTTGAAAGGAAAAGGATCGCAGAGTAAAGGGTTTGCAACCTGGGTTTGATATAGGGATGTTCAGAAGTCCCTATGAGTCTCTGACTGCACTGAAAGAGGGGCCGTGCGTCAGCTGAGACACTAAACCCAGGTCCTGTATCCTTCTCGTCCCTCGCACCCTCCGCCCCGCCATTGGATGTCGCGCCTTCAGCCGCTACGCCCCGAAACTCCGGAACACTCTCCCTCAGTCCCTCCGCCTCGCGACCCCCCCTCTCCCCTTTCTCAAGTCCCACCCGAAGACCTTCCTCTTCGACCGCGTTGTCGCAAGTTGGTGTGTTTAAATATAAATATACAGTATATATATATATTTCGGCCAAACTATATACAGTCAATTCCCTTTGTAGTAAATCCTGTGAAGTGCTTCGAGACGTCTCGAAGACGTGACAAGGCGCTGTATCAAACGCGAGGATTATTACATTTATATATAAAAGATTTAAATTGGGTTGTGGACGTTAGAGTTCCCGCAGCCTTCTGACTCGGGAGGCGAGAGTGCGATGAACTGAGCCGGGCTGACAGCGAGCGACTGAATTTGGGATGAGTCACCAGATGCGTTTAACAGCAACATATGCTGTGAACAATGATGCGACAGCCTGGCTCGGTCGGTATCCATCTCGCCTCTGAGCCAGAAGGATCTTGGCTAATGCCCCCACATTGAGGGATCTTGAACTCGCAGTCTATAAGCTGACACTGCTGTGTTGGGGGGAGTGAGACATTGTCAGAGGTGCTATCCTTCGAGTAAGACATTAAACTGAGATCCCATCTGTCTGTTAAGGTGGATCTTTGTAAAGGAGAGGACCCCGGGGTTCGACTCCTGGTCAGGGCGAAACCTTAGGCACTTTTCCTTACTCCACACGCACACGCACACACACGCGCGGGCGCGCGCCTCTGTTTACGAAGCAGGAACCTGGTTGTTGGTCGTTTGGTTAATCGTGTTCCAGGGAGTATTAATCCGTCCCAAATAAAAAAAATGCGGTCGCTCAATCCACGACTGTTTGTGGGACGTCGCCGTGCGCGGCTGACTGCCGCGATCCACCCACAAATATTATTATGATTATAAATAAACAGTGAACCCACTTTACAATGCACATCCTGTGAAGCGCTTTGAGATGTCTCGATAGGGCGCTATATCAAATGCAAGAATTATTATTATTATTATAATACCCCTATGAGTTTCATTTTCGTTCTCTGAAGCACTTACTATATTAGCGCCGAGTCTGTATTACTGACAATTAATGTTGGTCTATCAGTTAATTTGCTGTGATCTCCCCAATCGCTGTCTGGTAACCTTAGAGGTATTGAACCCCCTCCAAACCTATTAGAGCTGCACTTATTATCCCAAAGCACTGACCACGCCTGCAGCGAGTGTTGTTATAAAGTATTTAGCTGTGAATGGCTCTCCAGAACCCAATCATTTTCCGGAGTATCCTCCTACACTGTTCAGAATTAACGCCAAAGGTATTTTGTATTTTCGCTTCAAAGCCTCTTTAACTCGCAGGTTAAACAAACCCACATGAACGCGGGTAATAGTCCTTTCGGGTTTGCACTTGATTCAAAAGCTCTCCGCGGGATTTGTTTCCCGGACAGGGCAAAACCTTAGGCAAGTTTCCCTACACCCCAACCCCGCCACCCCCCACCCACCACCACCCCCACCCCCACCACCGCACGCCTCTGTTTACCGAGCGGTAAGTAAGTTAACAATCCCTTCCAAAAATAAATGAATAAAATAATAATAATTTGGTCACTCAATCCACGGCTGTTCGTGGGGGACGCTGCTGTGCGCAATTGGCTGCCGTGTTTCTCCCCCCACCCCCCCCCCCCAAAAATACACAGTCACTCCACTTTGCAGCATATTCTGTGAAGCGCTTTGAGACGTCTCGAAGACGGGGTAAGGCGTTATATCAAACGCGAGGATTATTAGGATTAGTGGCATTAGTATAATAGTATAATAAAGTATAATAATAATGATAATCTTTTGCATTTGGTATAGCGCCTTGTCAGGGCGTCATTGAGACGTCTCAAAGCGCTTCACAGGATACTTGTAAGTGGAGTGCCTGTGTATTTTTTTGTGGGGGGGGGGGGGGGGGCGAAACACACAGTGCAGAAATTACCCGTGAAGCACTTAGAAATGTTTTGGGAGCGAAAGAACAAACGACGAGGATTTTAACATAAATTATGCACACAGGGTGCCGTTTTTTTTGTTATAAATTGCCTTCCTCCAACGAATGGCTCCTGTCAAGTCAGAGTAAGGAGTTGGCAGCTAATAAAGAACTTACCGCAGACTGTAAAATACTACAATAATATTTGCAATTGATGTAGCACCTTATCATGTCAACCTTCTCAAAGTGATTCACACACTGAGTTGCTTTACTGTGGTGGCCAACAAAACTCCGGATGAAATTCGACCGTATAGACCTGCCCATGCCCCCCTCCTGCCGTGCCCCACCATCAGCTCCTCTGCCCGCCCCCACCACCCCACCCACCCTTTGGAAATCCATCCCACTTTCAGTCCGCCTCGCCCCCTCCCTCACCTCCTTCAAGGGGCCCATCTCAAGACCCTCCTCTTCGACTGTACCATTGGTCACACTCCTACCCCCACCCACTGCCCTCCCTGCCCTCCACCCCTCCCTGATCCCAACCCCCAGCTCGGGTCCAAATCCCTTGACCGTCCAGCGCCTTGGGACGTCCTCCTGACGTGAAAGGCTCCGTGTAAATGTCATGTGTTGTGGTTGAAACTGGTCGCTCAGTTCGTGGGACCTTGCTGTGTGCAAATTGGCTGCCACCTTCCACAAATGGGCATCAGCCTGGCCCAGGCTCTCGCTTCTGGGTCAGAAGGTTGTGGGTTCAAGTATGTTGGGGGACTTTGAACTCGCACAGACTAGACTGATGCTCCAACACAGCGCTGGAGGGGTGTTGCAGAGTCGAGGGCGCTATCCTTCGGATGAGACGTTAAACTGAGATCCAGCCCTGTGCTGTTCAAGTGGATGTGAAAGATCTCACGGCGCTATTTGAAAAGGGTCCTGGCTGACAATCCCCCCCCGCAAATAAAATTGGTCATTGACTTCCTGGCTGTTTGCGGGGACGCTGCTGCGCGCAATTGTCTGCCGTGTTTCACCCACAAAATACACAGTCAATCCACTTCACAGTATATCCTGTGAAGTGCTTTGAGACATCTCACCGGCCCGATAAGGCGTTGTATCGAATGCAAGAATTCTCATGATTACCATCACGGTAAATCTTGTGAAGCGCTTTGAGACTATCGATGGCATCAAACGAAGGATTACTATCGTAATAAACCCTATGAGGCGCTTTAAGACGCCTCGATGGCGCGATAAGGCGCTGTATCAAATGCAAATACCATCGATTTGACAATCGTTTCAGTTGTGGTCTTGTAAAATAATTGAAGCGGGGGTGGGTGAGAGGGTAAAAGGTTGCAGGATATTTTTATTAAATGTTTTTGATGCCTATAAGATCCCATTACGTAAATAAGGCGGGTTTCTCTGTTGCAATGATGATACCACACAGTTCTTAACGTGATAATATCAGATCGACGGAATCATTCAGTTTCATATTGACTTAAATTGAGGTTGAAACACCTCAAATGCGCTCAACGGAATTTCTGTCAAGATATTGTGACTGGGTGTTTGTAGAGACAATGTGCAGCGCAGCATAAAAATAACTTCAGAGAGAGGTGAGAGAGAAATAGAAAGAGGAAGTAAAGAGAGAGGGAGAGAAAGAGAGAGAAAAAACAATCAGAGAGTGAGAAACAGAGAGAGAGAGAGAGAGAGAGACAATATCAGAAAGTGATCAATAGAGTGAAAAGCAGAAAGTGAAAAACAGAGGGAGAGAGAACTAAAGAGTGAAAATGTAGAGAGAGACAGTACCAGAGAGTGAAAAACAGAAAAAGAGAAAAGGAAAAACACAGAGAGAGAGAGAGAGAGAAGGAAATAAAAGAGAGAAAAGGAAAAACAGAGAGAGAGAGACAGAAAAAGAGAGAAAGGAGAAAAGAAGAAAGAAAGGGAAAAGTAGAGAGAGAGGAAGAGAGAGAGAGAAAAAGAGAGGGGGAGAGCAGAGAGAGAGAGACAGAAAGAAAGGAGAGAAAAAAAGAGAGAAAGGGAAAAGCAGAGAGAGGAGAGAAGCAGAGGGAGAGAAGCAGAGAGAGAGAAGCAGGGACAGACAGAGAGAGGGAGAGAGGGAGGAGGGGGGGGGAGAGAGAGAGAAGCAGGGGGGGGGATGCAAGAGGAAGGGGTTAAGGTATCAGTCTCCCTCTCCGCTCACTGATACTCTGTGCAATAGGCGAGTCCTTCCGCTGCTGCTGTTGGTGTTGGAGTCGCACTGCTTTGGCGCATTGCGAATTAGCCTCAGAGTGAGTGAGTGAGTGAGAGGGAGTGAGTGAGTGAGTGAGTGAGTGAGGCTGGTCAGCAGCCCTGAGCCTCCACACACACACACACACACACACACACACTGGGCTATCTCTCTCTCTCTCTCTGTCAGAGGCTTTGAGGAGCAATGATCTGAACCGGCATCTCTGTCTATCTCTCTCTCCGACTGACTGACCTGTGGGTGTGTGTGTGTGTCTCTCTCTCTCTGTCTATCTCTGACTCTGTGTGTGTCTCTCTCTCTCTCTTTCTGTCTATCTCTCTGTGACTCTGTGTGCGTGTGTTTGTGTCTCTCTCTCTCTGTCTATGTGACTTTACGGTATATTCTGTGAAGCGCTTTGGGACGTCTGGAAGACGTGAAAAGCGCTATATCAAATGCAAGGATTATTATTATTATTTATTACTATTATTATTATGTCTCTCTGACTGTGTGTGTGTGTCTCTCTGACTCCCTCTGATCTTTCTGTGTGTGTGTCTCTCTCTCTCTCTGTGAGAGCACCGTGTTTGTGTGTGTGTGTGTGTATTTTCTCTGTGTCTCTCTGTGACACACTCTATCTCTACACCTCTCTCTTACTCTCTCTGACACACTCTGTATCCCTACGTGACACACTCCCTTTATCTCTCTGGATCTCCCTCTCCCTCTCTCTCTCTCTCTCTTGACTTTCTATCTCTCTGCACCTGTATCTTTCTCTCTCCCTTTCTCTGTGTGAAAGTGCTCCCTCTAACCTTCTGTCTGCTTGTAAAATTTAATCTTAATTTTATTTTATTGTGTGGGGAGGGGGGGGGGAGAGGAGAGAGGAGGGGGGGAAGGGGAAAAAAGAAATCCTATTTTATTATATTATATTATATTATTAACCATTTTCCTCTTTTTCCTCCCACCCCACCTTTATTTATTTGAAAAGAATTATCAATTATTATTATTTTGGAGGGAGGGAGGGTGGGAGGGGGCTGATTTGAAGGGATTATTACCCCCAACCCCTCAAAAAAAAACTGGTATAAATAAGCAGCTGTTTTGTGTGTGTGGGGGGAGTGAAAAGATATTTATTTGAAAAAAATATTCATATTATCTGCTCCCCAACCAAAAAAATAAGGGGGTTAATAGGATAGTGGGGGAGAGGGGGGAGATAGGGGGTGAGAAGGTGTGCTTTTTGCATTAAAGAAGGAGAAACACAGAGAGTGTGGGGGGGAGAGAGAGAACAAATAAATTATATATATAGAGAGAGAGAGAGAGAATAAACCAAACTACAGCGTCCCTGGAGGTTGAGGGAATCCAGGAAGTCTGTGTGTGAGAGCCAGAGAGGGGGAGAGAGAGGGGGGGAGAGGGGGAGAGAGAGAAAGAGAAGGGGGGAGAGAGAGAGAGAGAGGGGAGGGAGAGAGGGGGTGAGAGAGAAAGAGAGGGGGAGAGAGAGAGAGGGGGAGAGAGAGAGAGAGAGAGGGGGGAGTAAGAGAAAGAGAGAGGGGGAGAGAGAGAGGGGGGGAGAGAGAGAGAGAGGGGTGGAGGGGGGGAGTAAGGATATAGGGAGAGGGAAGAGAGAGGAGGAGAGGGAGAGAGGAGAGAGAGAGAGATAATAAGCTGTGGGATGGGATGGGATGGGATGTGGTGGGTGAGTGGATGGAGAAAGGTCTTTAATTAAAGATTGGATTTTTTTCCCTCTCTCCTTTTGCATATTGTTCCCTCTCTCTCTCTCCCGTTGATGGTGAGTGTGTGTTTGGCTGTGAAATCAGTGGGAAGGCTCTGCTCTCTCTCTCTCTCTCTCTCTGTGGTGTGTGTCTGTACTGCGTCTTATTTGCGCCCTCTTTCCCTTCTCTGTGCCTCTGTGCGTCTCTCTGCTGCTGTCTGGTTAAGGCAGAGACACACAGACACAGACACAGTCACACAGACAGACACAGACACAGACAGACACACAGACATAGACACACAGACACAGTCACACAGACAGACACAGACAGACAGACATAGACGCACAGACATAGACACACAGACACAGTCACACAGACAGACACAGACAGACAGAGACACACAGACATAGTCACACAGACAGACACAGACAGACAGACATAGACACACAAACAGATAGACATAGACACACAGACACAGACAGACATAGACAGACACAGACAGATATAGAGACACACACACATAGACACACAGACAGATAGACATAGACACACAGACAGATAGACATAGACACACAGACATAAACAGACACAGACCGATATAGAGACATAGACACACAGACACAGACAGATATAGAGACACAGAGACACAGACACCCAGACACAGACAGATATAGAGACCCACACACACACAGACAGACACACACACAGTAGCAATGGCTCGAGAAAACGAAGAGAGTTGTGTTTCGTGGAAAAAACAGGCAGACGATATTAAGAAGGATTTCGAGTTCAAGGAAATTCTGGGGACGTGAGTATATATATATATTTTTTTCTCTCTCTCTTCCTCCTCTCTGCAAAACCTTTAACTCACTCACTCACTCACTCACTCACACGTTATTTTATGTCAGTGTTATTATATATATAACTGTGTGTGTGTGTATTTCTCTGCGACAGTGCATTTGGAATATGTTATTTTATTTAGAGATGTTAAGGATTATATATATATATGTGTGTGTGTGTGTGTGTGTGTACCTCCTGCAACAGTGCATGTAGAATATATGATGTTATTTTAATATATTAAAGGTTATTATATATATCAAAGATACTGGAGTCCCCCCCCCCCCCCACCACCCCTCCTTTCTGTTCCTTTTTTTTTGCAAAATACTGTATATAATGATAATAATCCTTGCGTTTGATACAGCGTCCTATCACGTCTTCGAGGCGTCTCAGAGCGCTTCACAGGAACACGCTGCAAACTGGATTGACTGTGTATTTTGTGGGCGAAACGTACGTACAAAATATTTCACAGAATACACAGTCGATCCACTTTACATTATATCCCGTGAAGCGCTTTGAGATGTCTCAGTGACGTGATAAGGCGCTGTATCAAATGCAAGGATTATTATTATTATTTTATTATTATTATTATTATTATCTCTCCCCTTACCTTCCCGCACTCCCAAAATATCGTTGCACTTCCAACCCTCCAATTACCCTTCTTTCCACACCCCCTCCTCACCCGCCTCACCTTAGTCCGCTATGGATTATAATAAACAAATTGTCACCGCTCTGCAATTAATTTCAACTGATATGTGCTGTTGCAGTGCAAACCTTGAATTGTGGGTACATTTCTATATATTTTATTGATAATCTGCATTGCATTTGGATGCGGTGTAAAATCTTATCCTCCCTCCCTCCCTCCCTAACGATGACAAACATTTGCTTCTGCAATGCCCCTTTTTTAGATTAAAAACAAAGAGTTTTTATGCAAAAAATATTATTAAATAGCTGTTGCAAGTCCAAGACCTGTTATATTGTATTGTCTTATTCGGAGGAAGCAGTCGACTGAATCCGATGTGTGATTTCGCTTCCAAATGGTTTGCTGTTTATTTTCGCTTGGATGTCACTTTTCTTAAAAAAAAGGCACTTATGTTATTTATATTTCATTTTGATTTATTTATGATGGTGCAATTTTGCTTTAAGGTGGGCTGTTGATATTGACTTTAATGTCCTGCGGTTTCTGTGAGTGTGTGTGTGGTGTGTGTGTGTGTGTGTCTGTGTTTTTTTTCTTAAAAAAAATACCCCAAAAAGTAAATTCTCTGTGGTCATACTCTCGTGAAAATTTTCCCGTGGATTTTCAATGGAATAGATATATATTATTTGGCTTTCAGTGGTGCGCGTGGGTGGGGGGGGGAGAAGGTGGGAGAGGGGGGGAAAAGCCCTGTGATATTAATGCTTTGCAGATTCATATATAATGTACGAACATACACACACAAAGCAGAGAATTATTGCTTGTAGATTAGTCATTGGGGGAAGTCTATGGCTCTTTCAGTGATGCCTTGTCCACGCCTTGTGAATTAGTTGGACCTGGAAGGACAGACCAGTCACTGGGGGCAGGGAATCCTCCCCCCTCGGCTCCTGTTAACCCCGCAGCCAAAGCCCTAACTAACGGGAGGGTGGTCCGAGCCGGACAAGCGAGAGACAGCGAGAGAGAGAGAGAGAGAGAGAGAGCGCACACAATCCAATCCCAACAATCTCTCTCTGGGATTGCCATGTGTAGGAGGGATGCAGGGGATTCTCAGTTTGGTTTGGAGACTCTTAAGCAACGGTGACGGGTTTCCGAGTGTGTCTTAACCCACCGGAAAAAATTGTTTGACCACAATGACTGGAAAATGCACCCCGACAAATATACATGGTGGTGGTGGTGGTGGGGTGGTGGTGGTGGGGGGGGAAGGGAAGGGAAGGGTTTCTGTAGCTGTACACTTGAGCTGAGCGTTTCGTGGGATGTCACTGTCCGCAAACCGACTGCCACAAAATCCACAATCATTACGCTTTACAGTGAAGCGCTCTGAGCCGTCTCGACGACGTGATTAGGCGCTGCGTCAAACGCGAGGGTTATTATGATCAAAGTGCTGTACGGAGCCATTGCTTGAAAGCCTGCCTTAACGTGAAATAAATATCCTCTCGCAGTTTGTCAGAGGTTCCTGGCTCACCAGGTGGTGGGTTCAAGCCCCGACGTCGGAGGACTTTTGAGCTCGTAGTCAAGACAGCGTTGAGTTGCTGGAGGTGTCACCTTTTGATTATTAAACCGTAGCCCTGTCCCCCTGCTGTTCCGATAATAATAATAATAATCCTTACATTTGATGCGGCGCCTTATCAGGGCTTCGGGACGTCTCAAAGCGCTTCACGGAATGTACTGTAAAGTGTAGTGACTGGGTATTTTCGTGGGGCGAAACACGGCAGCCAATTGCGCCCGGCAGCGTCCCCATTAGCAGTCGTGGATTAAGTGACCGAATACATTTGTTTTTTTGGGGTTTTTTTTGAGCGATTATTGCTCCGGGAAAGGGACCCGCGAATGAATTCACAACCGGGTCGCTACTTACTGCTGGTAAACAGAGGCGAGCGTCCGTGGTGCGTGTGTGTATGTGTGTGTCTGTGTGTGTTTGCGTGTGGAGTAAGGGAACTTGCCCGAGGTTTCGCCCTGACTGGGTGTCGAACCCGGGTCCTCTCGCTCGCTTTTTTGGGGGGGACGTTGCAGTGTGAAAAGCGTCAGCCTATTATTTTTTTTTAAAAAAAACAAACCGCGTTCGTTCCACTTGACGGTGATTGCCGCGAAATGAGTTGCCATGTTCTGTGCCCCAGTAAAAACGAACACGAACCAGTGTTCGTGTCTCATAAGCTTTCAAGTCGCTTCAAGCGCCTGATGTTCTCTCGCAGATTAAACTCCTTTCCCCTTCGAGTGACGAGAGAGAGCGAGAGAGAGAGAGGAGAGAGAGAGAGGGGTGGGGGGGCTTCTGTCATCCCAATTTCTTGAGTTCACAATCCTCTTTCTTGCCTTGAAAAGCCCTCCCACGGCCTCGCTCCTCCCTGGACCTCTGTGGCCCGCTATCTCCTTACCCGCCAGTCCCCTCCCTCCGCTCAGCGGACTCCGGCCTGCTCCACTGCCCCCCCCCCCTCACCACCCCTCCCCAACCCCTCGCCCACCCCACCATCAGCGGTTAGACCTTCAGCCTCTCTGCCTTCTCCCCCAGCGCTGCATTGGAGAGTCAGCCAAGACTCCAAGATTTTACTGACCTCCTCCTCCCCCTCCGGGTTGAGGGGGAGTGGGAGGTCAGTAAAATCTCCTTGAATCTGAGTTGGCTCCAATGAGATGTGTTTGGCAAGGGAATGTCGGAATGGAGCCAGCCCTCTGCTGACGGTCTTTCGTCTTGGTTCCTGAGCCGGGAGGGGGGTGGGGGGGGGTGGTCCGAAGTTCTCCAGGGCAGGGAATCATTTTGTTTCGCTGTCAGAGACGTCTCGACAACGTCTTCGGGACGAGCTTCGCACGATTATGCTGTGAAGTGAATGAATTGACTGCATTTTGTGGGCGAAACCGTCAGGACCGGCGCAGTCGGCCTCCCTCTCGCCTCTTGAGCCGCGACTCGGATACTGTCGGAGACGCCGTCCTTCGCACGAGACGTTGAACCTCACTCCCCAGTCTGTGCCTGTTCAGGCGGACGTTACAGATCCTGCGGCGCTGTTCGAAATGAGAAGGGAGTTCCTCTCTCTCTCTCTCTCTCTCTCTCTCGCGGTGTTATTGATAATAATTATTGCCCTCAAGTAAAATCAGTCGCCAACAAAATACACGGTCACTGCACTTTACAGTAAATCCCGCGAAGCACTTTGGGACGTCCTCCTGACGTGAAAGGAGCTGTACCAAATGTAAGGGTTATTATTATAGCTAATTTAAAAAAAAAAAAAATTGTTTTGAAATGTCTCATTATCCCTCCTCGGGCCCATTACTTTTTTTTTTACGACCTTTTTTTTATTATCAATAATAAAACTCGCTTCAGTCTCGAGATCAGAATCTGCCGCAGCCAATGATAATGTTTCGCTAACAGCAAAAGATTTCTCGCGTTCGACGCGGTAACAGTGTCCGGAAGAGGATCCTCAGGTATTTGCTGCAAAGTCCTGTCGCTCGGCGGTTAGAGCGAGGGTTTGATTCCCGTTCAGGGCGAAATGTTGGGCAAGTTTCCTTACTCCACACGCACACGCACACGCACGCACACGCACACGCACGCACACACGCACGCGCGCGCGCCGCTATTTATCCAGCAGTAGGTAGAAACCCGGTTGATAGTCGATTAGCCGATCGCTTTTATGGAGGGTAATAATTCCTTCAAAAGGAAATAAGTAATAAACCAGTCACTCACTCCACTTCACTGTGTTTGTGGGGACGCTGCCGTGCGCAATTGCCGGCCGCGCCTCGCTCGCAAAATACGCAGCCAATTCCACCGCACGGTATGTCCTGCGAAGCGCTTGGAGACCTCGTTAAGGCGCTGGATCGTCCGCAATGTGAGGATTGTCCCTACCTTCTGCTTGTTAAATCCTCAATGGGCGGCACCCGTCGACAATGCAGCGCTCCCACCCCCCCCTCACCCCCACCCTCCACCCCCATAAGCCAACCCCCGTCCCCCCAGCCCCCACCCCACCAGTCGGCTGAATCCAACTCTCTCAACAAAGTTGAGAGCTCTACCCCACCCCCCCCCCACCCCCGCCCCGAGCCAACTCAATGCCTTGTTATCGTCTGCGATTTGGGAGGGAGGGAGGGAGTGAAGTTGGGTGGGGTGGGGTGGTTGGAGGCTCATGTGAAGTATAAACACAGTCACGGACTGGTTGGACCGAATGGCTTGTTTTGATGATGTCTGATGATCTACGTAGTTATATCTACTTAAAGATAAATTTGTTTCCTCTTGAGATCGAGTCAGATTGAGTTACTCCGACCAGAAAAAGTCATCGGATTTTGCGCTGTTCTGGTCAACGGCGGAG